GGGCCTCGCACTCGCACTGCAACTCGGGGCCTGCTGCGGCGCGTCACATGCAGGCGTTACACTTGCGGACCAAAACATGAAAAATTTCACGTAAATCAGATCAAACTTTGCCATGGCAGGCCGCTCAGCTTGCCTGTTTGCCAGTAGGTGGCGCATATCACTATATTGAATATTGTCATGTAGGACCTTGTTCCAGGGCGGAACTCTTATGCAAACGTGTGAAGTTTCTTGAGAATTGGACCATGTACACTGAAGTTGTGAAGACATGTTCAGAGGTAGCCTGAAGATAATGGTAGTATCTGTTTTATGGCCAATCGGCGGAATTCAACGTAGTGCACGGGCACGCGGTTAAACGTACACGTCACGATAGCACAACTTTTGATCACCAATGGGTCTAGATTAGCAGTGATGAATTTGAAGTCAATCTGAATAAATCTGTTAGGAGGAGTGTAGTTAAACAGAAGCCCTTAAATGCCGAAAATTTGATTCACTGGCCAACTTTGACGGCACGCCACGGACCAGCCACCCTTCAATCGGTACGTGCACAATAGCACAACTTTTAATCCAGCAAGATACTTTGATGTACTGACCAATTTTTTCTGGCACGCCAGTCCACAATTCGCAAACCACTTCCTCACACCCAGCTCTACTTTTGCCGTCCCACAACAACGGAGGGAAGAGGCGGGCAGGACCGCAGACTCTCCGTTACAGCGCACCCCTGGCTATCGGTCGCACCTCGTGCTTCAAAATTGGTCAGTAACACGTCAACAGTATCTTCGCTGATTAAAAGTTGTGGCTATTTGTGGGCACGTACGTTGAAGCGGGTGTGTCCGTGGCGCCTGCCGTAAAAAAGTTTGGCCAGGGTTGAATCAAATTTTCGGCATTTAAAGGGCTTCTGTTTAACTATAACTACACTCCTCCTACACACGACCTTTATCAGATTGACTCCTCAAATTTCGATCACTGCAAATCTAGACATTGGTGATCAAAGTTGTGCTATTTGTGACTGTACGTTTAACCGGGCGGTGCCCGTGACGACGTGTTGAATTCGTCCGATTGGGCATAAAAAAGATAGTACTCATATCTTGCAGAGTACCCTGAACATGTCTTCACAACTTCAGTGCTACATGGTCCAATCTCAACTGAAATTCACACGTTTTGATAAGAGTTTCAGCCTGAAAATCTCATGACAATCATTCACGATATAGTGATAGCGCACCTACCTGGGCAACAGGAAGATGAGCGCTGCATGGCAAGTTTGATCTGATTTACGTGAAATTTTCATGTTTTTGGGTTCCCCGCAAGTGAAACAAAAAAACCGCAAAAAAAAAAAAAAAACAAAAACAAACAAAAAAAAAACTGTAACGCCCTGCATGTGACGCGGCCGGCCAGCAGGCCCCCGAGTTGCATGGAGTGGCGAGGGCCCGTTCATCGCGCGTCCGCTCGCCTGCAGCTTTAATTAGAATTTTCATCTCCTCACCTGGACCAAGTTGCCTTTGAATAGTTCACTTTCTCCCTCGCAATTTCATCGCAAAAGAAATGGTTAAAACATCTCAACATGTCATCACTTTTATTAGAAAAGCTGCATAAGAAATCAGTGCATTTTAAACTCCAACAATCCCAAGAAGAGGGACTGCCTAGCTCGCTGCTTGCAGCTTTAATTAGATTTTATTCTCACTGGAACAAGTTGCCTTTAATAGTTCACTTTCTCTCGCAATTTCATCGCAAAAAAATGCTTAAAACATCTCAACATGCATCACTTTTATTAGAAAAGCTGCCATAAAATCAGGCATTTTAAACTCCAACAATCCCAAGAAGAAGGGACTGCCTAGCCTCCTCCTGGCTTCATCCCGCTGCCTCCAGGATCTCTCTGACAACTTTTTCATCGTTTTGATGAGACGTGTGTATACAGTCAGTGTAAAGGTGGAAGTGGGCGTGAACAGGTGCAAATTTGTTTTAGATGCCGTGAATTGAGTTGTTTTGTATAAATGTTTCATCATGAGCTGGTTCCTGAAGGATCAGTGCTCATGAGCTCCTCACTCTCACACCAGGATCTTCTGAAACAGGATACAGGGCCACTATGTTAGTTTCCATTTAAAGCCAGTAAACATAATAACCACCGGTGCCTCTCTTTCCTCAGGTCCAGAGAGTCCTGCAAGAACACACCAAACAGGGAGAGGTGGTGCTCCTGGTCTACAGAGGAGGTACTTCTGAACCCCTAAAATCCATTCATAGGGAACCAATAAAAACATGGGTAGTGCTACAGGTGACACTGGTCCAGGTTTAGAACTGTTTCTGTGAACCCACAACAACCACTAATACCTGTCTCACTCCCCCAGGTCCTGTCTCTTCCCCAGCCGTCACCCCCAACCTCTACAAGCCCCTCCCCTCCCCACACAGCCTGGTCTCCCCCTCTTCCTCCCACCCCCAGACTTTAGCCGACTTGCCTTCCCCGTCCACGGGTGCCTTGGTGGGGGGCGTCCCCCCACTGAACCAGGCCGGCTTGGCCCCGGAGAGTCCCCAGGAGGGACACCTACCAGCCCCGGGAACCCACCAAGGTAACTGCACTGTGTGCCCTTGAGCAAGGCAGGTGGCTTCAAACAACACTTTACTTTACTACACTGACTGAGTCCTACTTATCCATCAGTTGTCAGGCCTGTCGCCTCCTTGTCCTCCTGCTCCTACCAGTCTGACTCCTCCTTGTTTTCCAGGGCCCCCTCCTGCCCAGACACCAAACGGGCCCCAGGCCTCAGCCCTCATCCAGAGCACCAGCTTCTTGGACTCGGTTCCTGTGACGATGACCTTAGAGCCACGACATTTGCTGGGAGTAGAGGAGAGCGCCGGTGGGCCTCCTCCCGCCAGAGGGGGAGGAGCGCTGGGAGCAGTGTCTAAGGACGCAAGAGGAGGAGTAAAGACAGCGGAGGTGGAGCTGAGAAGGAGGCCAGGAGAAGGCTTTGGATTTGTCATCGCCTCTCAGGAAGTGACCAACGGGGGTGAGTCCCAGTTTGGTTTGTTTACAGGTTGATGGCACCACCTGTCATATATTGTTCATGAGTTTGGGAATGTGAATGATACAATAGATGTTCTAGGACAGATTTATGATGCTGAGGAAAACGTTTATTATTGAATGTTGATAATGAATGTTGATGTTGATTATGAGTAAACATCTCAAGATCATCTATGGAATCTTGGTGCTATTGATCTCTGTTGCATCATGGAACCAAGAAATATCGTGTTTCTTGGAAACCAAAGTGGGTGTGTCATATTCTAAAGGTCGTTGTGCAACGCTGCTCTGTTGTTATTACAATAGTTCCACTCAAAACTGGTGGAAACGCAGGTTGGATCTGCAGATAGAACGATAGGTTAGAAGAATCTTTAACGGAACCGGTTCGAAAACCAGAACGAATTTGATGGAAAAGGGGCCAGTGTGTACAAAGTCTATGTGTTTGGTTTCATTAAGTTATGACACATTTGATGCAAAATGCTAACGTTAAATTGCAATGGAGAGGATCTGCTCATAAAGTAAAGATATGCAACCTACCTGAAAGAGTATGTAAGTATTATCACTAAATGTACTTAAAGTAAAAGTAGTGAAAGTGCAGTTTCATATATCTGATGTTTTTGGATTAAAATTACTGCTGCTCCCAATATTCAACATCAGCGCATCTGGAGATACGGGGTAAATAATAATTTGTACTGAAGCAGTATTTGAGTAAATGTACTAGAACAGAGCGAGAGAGAGCCAGCAGGATGTTTGTTGATAATGTGTCTGTAATGAGCGGTGCAGCCTGTAGGGGGCGTTGGCTGCTCTCTGTCAGTACATGAGTTCACATAGAGCAGTAACGAGTCTCTGGTTGATTAAAGCAGCAGCTGAGCTTCTGTTTGTTCCTCTGATTCACTGCAGTGAGCTGGAAGGAACGTTTACGACACAGTTAAAGAGCACTCGAACGCACCTCTGAGTGTGTGTGTGTGTGGTTCTCCCACCTCACTCTGTTAAGTCACGCCCCCCCCGAGCTCTGTCGCTCTCTCTCCAGCTCACACTCAGTCTCGCCTGACCGCTTTGAGAGACACAACCTGTCTTTCACAGACAGACAGACAGACAGA